TCCAGGAGCGAGGCTGTAGGCCTGGCCTGCTGCAGTTACGCTTAAGGCCATTCGTGTTGTTCCCTCAAAGGAAAAGAATTATTCCTTGAGTTCCCGCGTGTTTGGGTATCGTCCATGTAATCCTCGTTCTGTGGCTCTGATGACCTTGTTTTTTACCTGTCAGTTTCTTTTTAGGTAAAAATGAAGGCCAAAAAAGGAAGGAGATTTAAACCTTTCTTTAGATTGAAACAAAAAGGCATTGTAGTAACAGGAAAGTGGAAAACCGTGCCAATCGACCCCAATCTATTTGCTGATGAGGATTTTAGAGATATAGTATGCTTGGAGGAACTGACCGAGTACAAGCCAGTGAGTTCTTCCAAAGTGGGGAAAGTAAAAGAGAAGAGAAAGGCTGAGAGTGTTTCAGAAGAAGGCAATGAGGAGGAGGAAGAACCTGTCATCCCTCCCAAAAAGAAAAAGAAAAGCAAAGAGTTGAGAAGTAAAACAGATAAGAGCAGCGATTCTAAAACAACTGAAATTGATGTGCCAGTTGATAAAGAGGCAAAGTGTAACAAAGTAGACAAAGTGTCAAACTGTGAGGACCATGAACATGTGGCTGAGAGCCCTTTAAGCACAACAGATGCTCCAAGGAAAAAGAAAAAGAAGGTAGCTAAAAATAAGGCTTCTCAAGCTCAAGAAGCTCTTCCATCCTCTACTTCTAAGAAAGTTAAAAACTGGACAACAGAAGTTTTATCTGCCTCAACTGATCACAAAGCCGATGTGTCTGCATGGAAAGACCTGTTTGTACCTGAACCAGTGTTGCGGGCCTTGAGCTACCTGGGGTTTAGTGCTCCAACTCCTATTCAAGCCTTAGCCTTGCCTTCTGCCATCCGGGATAATATGGATGTTCTTGGTGCTGCAGAAACAGGTACAAATCTGTTAAAACTGTTTGTATGTGTTAGGAGCCTCCCATCTTTCCTCTTTAAATGAAGCTTATTGTTATGAGTTTTTATTTGGAGCAGAAGAAGCATTTATATGTAGAAGAGCTTGTATCTTCTGCCTGTCCATTGTATTAGTAGTGATTCATTGTGAAGTATTAAAATTTTATAACTTAACAGGCACAGGATGTTCCATCTTTACAAAATACAGTGTTCAAAGCTTTGACGTCTCAATGAGTCTTTATGTTTTTGACAGAAGTCTTCTTTTCTGTTGTTTCTCAAATTGTTTCCTATTTTGGGAACTGTAAGGTGATACACTGTAAAGGGCAGAATTATTGAAACAGTCATGTTTCAGCAGCCTAACTTCTATGGATGTCCCCGTGCCAAGGCAGAGCAGAGAACTTGGTTCCCCTGAAGATGATTCACTACTAGCTTGGAGTGGTGAATATGTACTAGGCACAGTGTTAGGCATGGTGACTATGGCCTAGGCCTTTATCATAGCAAAACAGGTCCACCCTGTGCCCTGGCTCTGGGCTTGGCCTGTATGTTGTCACCAGCCCTTCTCACTGCTTTCTGCTTGAAGTATGTAAATCCATGAACTGGAGCGGTACTGTCTCTTGTCCAGCTTGTGATCAGTTCATGCCTTCGTCTTTGAGCATTGCTAAACTTTGTGAAATTTGTTATCGCTTTTTTTACTTAAACAGTGCTGTGAAATCTCAGAGCATTACGTTCCCTCTAACTTTTTTTGCTGCTCATAGAATCATAGAACGGTTTGGGTTGGAAGGGACCTTAAAGATCATCTTGTTCCAACCCCCCTGCTATGGGCAGGGACACCCTCCACTAGACCAGGTTGCTCAAAGCCTCATCCAGCCTGGCCTTGAACACCTCCAGGGATGGGGCATCCACAACTGCTCTGGGCACCCTTTAAAGTTTTGTCTTCTTTAGCTGTGCAACATTTTTTCCCTTATAAAAACTAAAAATAGGAAGCGCCATTGGAAGCTGCGTTGTTTAAAGGCTTCCTTTGTGTTCTTTTCATCTATTCCAGTTGCCTTATCTCACTTCTTGTCTTATAAAGCCATTTAATGCTCTTGAACATGAAGGTGCAGTAACTAATAAGATATGCAGTCATTTGCATTTTTATTTTAATTAGAAGCTAGGCTGGTTCTATTAACTTTAATAAGATGAGAAAACCCTGCAGGGAGTGTTTTTTGAAAATGGAACTGAAAATCTAAGTGGTGTTTTTGTGCTCAAAAAAAGGGCCATTTTGTCAGTGCTGGAAAGCAAATCCCTCTCTAGTTACAGGGCAGAAAACACAGTCAGTGACAGGTTGTGTTGTTGATGCCTAATTTTGCATAACCCTTAGGTAGTGGGACTGTGCTTTGCTCTTTTACATTCTTCTTTTATGAAAGAAAGCCAGGTTCTCTCCAGAGAGCCCAGTGGGTCATCAGTATTCCTGCAGAAAATGGAGAGAAAATGTGGGCAATTGTCCTGTAGGAAGTGCTGCAGCTGGGAAATTCTCCAGTTCATTTTCTGCATCCTACAGCTTCCCTTAGCATTGGGCCTGAGGGAGGAAGGTGACAGGAAACAACTATTCGTCTTCCCTTTTTGGTGACAGCATAGGGGTGAATGGCAAGATTTTGATATGGCAGTAGATCCTTGTGGAAATCGGATGCAGGGAATGTCAAGGCTTGTTGGTTTTGCAGTGGATCTAACCAGTTCTGTTCATTACCATATAGAAATAGTGAAGTTTTTGTCTAAGGAAACAAATTTTATCTCTGTAAAATCTTTCAATCTAGAACTGTTCAAAAGAGCATGAATTAGTGTGAGCTGTAGTATCTGGGGGTACCAAGATATACTCTTCTCCTGGTTTTGTGGACCTAGCCATGGTATGTAATCTGTGTGTTGTGAAGATAACATGACCTGTGAGGTGATTAATTTGTGGGTGAATCTAGTGCCTGCAGAATAGTCACGATTATCACAGCCATAATCTGGGTGGGTGCAGTACTGATATTTGCACCAGCAAAATTGCATTACATTTAATTCAAGATCAGCAGTGTTCTTCACCTTAAAAACAGATGTTCTGGTAATACAGAATCTTGCTGTATAAGTGCTCTGCAAATGCAGCTTAGGAACATTTTCTGCTTCAAGTGTGGAAGTCAGAAGAGATCTTAGAGATGCACAGAAGGGTGGGAAAGTGGATATGAGGAGACTGCAGCAGAATTGGTCAGGATACCGGGCTTAGCTGTTTATTAATTAATATTAAGGTTCTCCCCTAAAGAGGCAAAATCTTGTGTTACTGAATTTGCAAACCATTATGGGTTTGTGATATGGACAAACGGTGCTCAAGGAATTGAGGTGAGATTTCCAGAGGACTGCTTCCCAGCAGTGGCCTGTTACAGGAATGGTGTAGTCGTGTCTTGTGCTCTGGATGCTGCTTTTGTGATCAATGAACTGATATTTATGAGAACCTTAACCGGTGTGGATGTGCTACCAGGCTTCTCCTAACATCTTTATTAGTGACAGGTAGTTCAGAATGGAATACATGTCAGGGATGTGACTGGCAGTTTGGTACAGTGAACCCCTGTGAAATTAAAGTTAGGGGAGAATTTTTGTATTTGACAACACCCTTTTCCCCAAAGTGAATTAACTGTTTTAAAACAGATTTATGTGTTTTGATGATAAAAATGTGAGCTGGTGATACATCAGGAAATTAGATGGAGTATTTAAAAATACAGTTTCTTAGAAAGCTGTAAACACAGTACTCTAAATGGAAGATGGAAGCAAATCCTTCAAGTACATTCCAGCTTGTCCTTGGCCTCATTTGCTGTTACTTTATTTGGAGAACATTGATCAGAACTGTCAATTAGGGCATGGTATTCTCCTTACAGGCATACAGTTCTTTAAAAATATCTTGGCTGCAACTGCAGCTTTTAAAAACCACTTTCAGAACAAATGAATCTGCCTGACCTGCTAGAGATTGCAAAAAATACTTGTTCCCCAGGAAGTATGCTATTGGTGACTTCAAGTAGATGTATATAGGGAACAGGAGGAAAGACGCTATTGCTGCAAGTTTCTGGTCTTCTAAAGATCAAGAGTTTGTGTCTGTTACAACTCTATATTTTAAGAGCAGTGTATTATTGGTTGTTGCTTTTCTCATCTTTTCATATAAATGACTTTTTGGTCTGTATCATTCTTCTTGTTTTTTTTTTTTTTTTAGGAAGTGGCAAAACGCTTGCATTTGCGATTCCAATGATTCACTCTGTGCTGCAGTGGCAAAAATCAAATAGCTCAACAACCAGAAATGACATTGTTTCTAAAGAGTCCCATCAGCATCATGATGAAACAAGAAGGGAAAATGAGGATGTAGCAGAAAAACTAACTCATCAGCAGGCTGAAGATAGTGAAGATGAAGATGAAGATGATGCATCTTTCACAACAGGCTGTGTGAAGGTGCTGGAAAATTTTGAATTTAATTCCAGTGGCGAGGCACATACTGTTGTCTCCCATGAAAAGAGACCTCTTTTAGGACTAGTACTGACTCCCACAAGGGAATTAGCTGTACAAGTAAAACACCACATTGATGCAGTTGCAAAGTTTACAGGTACGTAAACCCCACAGGCCATGTCCCAGATTACACTGGCTTTGGATCTTGGCATTTGTGTTGAGCCAGAATGTGTGCCACAGTTTCTTCCGCATCATAAAATTGGGGTGACTTTTGAAGGGTTCAGGTTCATAGTAACTAATCTTTGAGAAATGCACTGAGATTCTTCAATGAGATGCATGTGAACGTAAACAGTTAATGTGCGATATTTTGCTTTAAAATGTTTCTTCCTTCCTTGACTCTTGCTTTAGCAACATAGAACCAGTCCTAGATACCTAGCCACTACTAACTTTGTCCTGGTTTAGGATGATGTAGATTACATATAAAAAAATAATTTCATTGTGTGTTTTTAAAAATATTTTTTTCATAATTTCCTTTTTCGACAGATATATCAATCTGTATAGATAATAGATACAGATATACATATAAAATTTTTCTCTGTTTATCAAAAAAAAAAATTCAGCTGTAAATTTTAAGGGTAGAAGACATTGTTGGATTGTCTGACTTAGCTCCTACAGCAGTCGCCACAGCGTATTGCTGGCTAATGTGCCTGATGAAAGCAATTCCATCCTGTTCCTTTCTCTTCCAAACCAGAGGTCAGCACATCTGTTGAGTGATTCAGGATGTGAAACTGTTCAAGATGGAGAGAATTGGGAAACAACTCCCCACTTCTCCACTAGTAGTAATTGTTTATTTATTGAAGAGGATATGTAGTGCAGTGAGTTGTTTTTAAGCACATCTTCCTTTGGTGTCTGTACGTCCTGCTGTGCTCATCAGTCTACAGCTGATTACAAGGCTAATTTTAACTCCGAGCCTGAAATAATCAATTTATGTTAGTACAGTTCTGAGAGGAGCAGTGCTATTTGTGCGTAGAAGTCTGCTGCCTAGGTGATGTATAGTTGCTGCAGCAGGAAAGAAAATATGTTTTGATGTGGGCTTTCTTTGTTGTCTCAAACTCACTTTGAAAAAAGTCCCCACCTGGAAGCCTGGGGCTCCACAAGTAGTAGGGAAGAGAGAGCTTAACCCAGGACACTTGGATACAGGAGGAATCCTGCACACTGACACAGAGTTTGTTATGGGCCAGTGTATTATTTGAAGAAGTAGGGTGAAATAAGCCATGTGTGGAGGCTGTGCTTACAAAGCTAGACTCCTTTTAGTACCTGAGCAAATTGCTTAAAGCTAACTTAGAGTCTCTGCACTACTGTGCAGTCCAGAGAATCATTAATTGGGAAGGAACATTCTTGTTAGGAGTATTCTGTAGCAAATGAGCAGTTATTAGCAAGACAGTAATTTCTCAGTCTTATTCTTGGAGGGGCCTGCTGGTTATTCGTAACAGGAACATGCTTGTTCATGCAGATACAATTGACAAAGCATGAGATTCTGAAGTATGGGTAATCAAAGCTAACAGCTATGGATGTGATTCCCCCTGCTATTGGAAAACAGGTGCACTAAAAGAAAGACTGTTTTTGGCATCTAACTATAGTGAGGATTTTTCTGTAAAATTGATGGCATTGCTGCATGTTCAGTGTTATACAAAACCTTTGAAGTTTCCTGGGCAAAATGCCTGCTGAAAGTTGTGGTATAGACTTTTTAAAATACCTCTTTGAGTGGATGTGTGTAAAGACATTCATTGATAAATTAATGAAATAAAAGCTATTATTTATATGTTCTAGGCATCAAGACTGCTATCCTAGTTGGAGGCATGGCTGCACAGAAGCAAGAACGTGTACTGAATCGAAAGCCAGAAATTGTAATTGCAACCCCAGGCCGTCTGTGGGAGTTAGTTAAAGAGAGACACCCACATCTTTCAAATCTTCGGCAGCTCAGGTAAAGGTGACTTTTAGATGAACTGCTGGATACTGGGTGTCACTGCATATGATTTTATTAACTCATTAAGTAATCTAGAGTATGTAAGTTCACTTACTTTTTTTGCCAGAGTATTTTATTGAAATGCACAGTGGTTATAGTGATAGAAGGAAATGTCAAGTAAAGCCAGTAGCAAAAACCTCATTGTTTCCTTTAGAAACCTGATTTTCAAAAAGAACTGTGGAAGGCTGCTTTAGCTACCCCAGCACACCTGGTGTTCCTTTGGGTTTTACATGCAGAACGTCCCTTATGTGTTTATCAGGAAAAATTATTTTGAATTGTATCAGATTTGTATTTATCTGCACAAGTGTATTTTTAGTGTGTTTTCTATTTGACAGGTGCCTTGTGATCGATGAAGCAGACCGAATGGTTGAGAAAGGTCACTTCTTAGAGCTGTCTCAGTTGCTGGAAGTCTTAAATGATTCACAGTATAACCCTCAACGACAGACTTTTGTTTTTTCTGCCACTTTGACTTTAGTCCATCAGACTCCCACAAGAGTTTTGCAGAAGAAAAATGCTAAAAAGATGGACAAGAAGACCAAGCTAGAATTGTTAATGGAAAAAGTAGGAATAAAGGGCAAACCCAAAGTGATAGACTTAACAAGGAAAGAGGCTACTGTTGAGACTCTGACAGAAACCAGAATCCACTGCAATACAGATGAGAAGGACTATTATCTCTATTACTTTCTTCTCCAGTATCCAGGAAGAACCATGGTCTTTGCAAACAGCATAGACTGTGTAAAACGCCTCAGTGCTCTCCTCACAATCTTAAATTGCGATCCGCTTCCTTTGCATGCCAACATGCACCAAAAGCAAAGGCTGAAAAACCTGGAAAGGTTTGCTGGGCGAGAGAGGTGAGTTGATTTTCTGCTTCCTAGTAGAGAAGAAAAGAAATCGTGTAAAGGGTAGTGGGGAGAGGAAACAACTCTTTTAGAGTAGGAGTAGGTTGGGGGAGTTAGCGGGGGATGTGAGTCCGCCATTCATAAACCCGGGTTGTTAACAGTTACGGGTGAGGTTTCACAGGATGGCTGAGGCAATGAACTAGAGCAAGTTCAGTGGAAGGCCACCAAGATGGTCAAGAAGCACTTGCTCTGCGAGGGGAGGGACTGAGGACACTGAATTTATATCACCTGGGAAAAAGACTTTGTGGGGACCTAATGGCAGCTCTCCAATAGGTTAGAAGGTTACCAAGAAGATGGAGCCAGGCTCTTCACAGTGGTGTGTGTTAGGTCGATGAGGGATAACAGGTACAAGTTAAAATGAGAGATTCAGGCTAGGTTTAAGAAAGCTTTATTCTCTGTGAGGACAGTCAGGCATTAAAGCAGGCTACTTGTTCTTTGAGGCTTTCAAGGTTCAATTGGATAAAGCCCTGAGCAGCCTTGTCCAACCTTATAGCTAATCCTGCTTGGAAGAGGAAGTTGGACTAGGGACCTCTTTCTGGGTGAGAATTTGTACTTTGATAATAGGCTCAGGCAGCGAGAACAGAGGTTGAATTGCTGTGATAGATCTGCAGTATCCCATGGCAAAATGTAGGATTGATGGCATAGGCCTAGGCCAGATGGGGCATTTTCAGAGACTGCAGATTTTCAAAGCAAGAAGGAATCTATGAGACTATCTATCACAGCCTCCTGCAGATTGCAAACTGTAGAGTCTTGTCTGTTTATTTCTGCTTTGAACTTTGTAGCAACAGAGTATGTCGTCAGATGCCATAAAATCTTAACAAATTCCTGTTACCTACAAATAACTCATTTCAGTTGCTGGGAGATTTTTTAGAAATTAACTGTTCCATCCCCTAGGGAGACTTTTGTCTCTGTAGTAGACTGTTTACATGAAAGAATGACTTTTCTGATTAGTTCTTCATTTCTAGGGGTAAGGAGAAACACTAATTGTCAGAACAGAATCCCTCCCCTTTATATTTCTAGCTTTTAATTTACTGAGAGAACTTAGAGTGCAACTTGGTAGAAGATATTTCAGCCGTAAAAAGACGTTAATAAGGCTATAATGTTAATAATGTGATTTTTCTCAACTGGTAAAACTTGTAGTAACCTTTCTGTCCTGCCAAAAGATCAACTGTGTTGTTAATGTATGGTCATATCAAGCTAAGATATTTTTAAACCCAGCCTGGGCAGAGCACTGAGAAATGTAATGAAGGGGAGCATACCCTCCTGCCAAGTGGTTGGATTAGGTCATGGAATAGTGATTTGCACTAGCATTCCTGTGAACTGGGAGAGAAGTGTAGGAAAACAGGATCCAGAAAGGTAGTGAATTTCTATATTGGAAACAGAATAGACCTGCTGAAGGTAACATTTGCATTTTTTTCTTTCACTTTAAGAATTGCTAATTCAAGACTGCCTTTGATGTAATATTGGGTATCGTTTTCTGTAAGGGCAAACAAGTAGCGTATTTCCAGCAGATGATATAGTACAAATCTGTTCCTTAAATTGCTGTGGTAGAATTCTAGGTCACTGTATTTTATGTTCCTTGGCAGATGGTTTGCTCTTCAATTTTTATGTTCATTAAATGTTATCTCTTTCTCAGCTGTGTCCTCCTGACAACAGATGTTGCAGCTCGTGGTCTTGATATTCCCAACGTGCAGCATGTCATCCACTACCAGGTTAAATATTTTTAATGGTTTTGCTTTTACTGTTTTGGTTTTGAAATAAGCTTTTGTTGATCCAAACACCATCAAGCTGTAATTCTCAGTCCTGTGTATAGTATACTCCCAAGTATAGAGATTTAATAATTATGAATTTAACTGTCCTGTTGTGCTTTGTATTTAAGGATCTCACTGCTGCAGTGACTGATCATGGTAGGTAGTGCTTCATGAGTGATTATATATAAGAAATGACATAACAGATATGATTCTCCTTGCTTTTTGCGTAACTTTGTTATCCGAAGTTGTCACATGACTCAGCCCTATAACTATTCTCTGAGGACACGTACAATTTTTTTTCCTGCTTTGCAAATGAAATGGCAGAGGGTCAGAAGTTAGGAGAGACTCACAAAAGATTATGAAAGGAAAAATTCTCGACCAGAGAACAAAAAGTGTCTTCAGACATCATCTTTCACTTTACCTTCAGTTACATGCAATGTACCGTGTATATAAAAAACAATATTCTCTGGCAACCTCTTGGCCAAAGTAGGACAGGCTGCTGCTAGCTTTCCATGGCCGTCTTCATGTTTTTTTCTGAATTTTTGCAGGTCCCTCGTACTTCTGAGTTGTATGTACACAGAAGCGGCAGAACAGCCCGAGCTGCCAACGAGGGCCTTAGCCTATTGCTGATCGGCCCTGATGATTTGATCAATTTTAGGAAAATTTATAAAACATTGCAGAAGACTGAAGAGCTGCCATTTTTCCCAGTTGAAACCAAGTGCATGACTTCTGTTAAGGTAAAGAAATAACAATCTCTTTGCATCTTGAGTAGTTGCTTGCTCACGTATATTACTGCATTACCCATCACGTTCTTTCCATGTTTCAGATTAAATTTACTCTTCAAGACGTGGATTTAAAAATGAAGTTTATCACACATTATCTTCTTTTTAAGTAATACTTGTGATTTCTCCTCAATAACTGGCCCAAGAAAGGTGTTCAAATATGAATGTCACTTATGTTTTTCTTGCACTTTGTTATGTAGAGTTTCTTGTTACTAGTTTCCCAAAAACAGTACAGGGAAGCGAGTATGTTTTGTGGCTGGGGAGCTGGGATGGCTCTGTTAACTGTGTTGTTTAAAGCCTGTTGTGTTACGAACAGACTAGAAAACAGTAGCAGGTCCAGGGGTCTTCAGTGGTCTTCATCTGCCTCTTCTCAGTTGAAGTAATGAGTTGGTTGCTTTTCTAAAAGTTCTGGTACAGTGAGGCCACAGCTGCCACTGAACCCAGTCAAACCAGGTGTGTTTCCTTTTTCTAGGTTATTGCCTGTTTTAAGGAGAATTCAGTCATTCACTAACTCACAAGACAGACAATGGTTAGGATTTACAAAATAATTTATTATAGAAAGCATCTAGTCACCACAGATTTTCTCGTTCTTTAGTAAGAGGCCATGTCATGTCTCAGCATTCCATTAACAGTTTGGGTGACATCAGTCGTGTACAAATGGGACATATTTAAATACTGCATTTGAAAGGAATCCACATGGGGTTGGAATTTCAGAATATTGCAGTCATTGAGAAGAGGAGAAAAATGCAAGAAGTCAGATAATGCAACAGGTACTCAAGTTTTGCCAAGCCACTCTCCATCATATTTGAAAAATCATGGCTGTCGGGCAAAGTCCCCAGTGACTGGAAAAAGGGAAACATTACTCCTATTTTTAAGAAAGGGAGAAAAGAAGACCCGGGGAACTACAGGCTGGTGAGCCTCACCTCTGTGCCTGAGAAGATCACGGAGCAGATCCTCCTCGAAACCACGTTAAGAAACGCACGAGACCAAGAGGTGATCTGAGACAGCCAGCATGGCTTCACCAAAGGCAGATCTTGCCTGACCAATCTGGTGGCCTTCTATGATGGAGTGACGGCTTCGGTGGACAAAGAAAGGGTGACGGATGTAATTTACCTGGACTTATGCAAAGCATTTGACATGGTCCCTTGCCACATACTTCTCTTTAAATTGGAGAGGTATGGATTTGAACAATGGACTGTTCAGTGGATAAAGAATTGGTTGGCTGGTCGCAGCCAAAGGGTCGTGATCAACAGCTCTATGTCTGGATGGAGGCCTGTCACAAGTGGTGTCCCTCAAGGGTCTGTCTTGGGACCAGTGCTCTTCA